AAAACAGTGGAAGTGCAACAGTCTTGCCACATCCCAGTAAAACTTACCAATAAGTGATGTGTGCAGGAGGCACTGGGGTGGCTGCATGTCTGAACCTGTGAGAGCTTCCCGAGCAGTGCTGTCCTCTTCCAATACAGAGCAGAGCTGTCCCTCTCTATTATAAGGAGTGCATAGGGGATGCAGAGAAGTTGATGTGGAACAAAATGTGAGATGTATGGCAAGATTTGGGCTGGAGCAATGACAGCATCTCAAAAACTGTGCCCCTTAGTTAACAAATGTACCAGAAAGGTACTTCCTTTCTTTCTAAAGGTACTTGGTCAACAAAGGACAGATAGAATCCTGGTGATGAACTGCTAAATATCCGAAGGAGAGAATACAGCAATGCGTGGCACAGAAGGTGCCATGGAGGTGAAAGCATTCGTAGCTCTCCTCTCAGTGGTGTGTTGGTTCCACAGCAGGAGCAGGGAGCACCACTTGATGTGCAGCTCAAGGGAAGCCAATGCAGATTCTGCACCAAGACATTCCCTGGAGCAGAAATAAACTGTGCATCACCATTACAGAAGCCTAGTAACAAAGCTCCAGTGACATTTTAATTTACCCAAAATAATATGATTTATATTGAAAATGCTCCCATTAGGTGGATGAAGAGCTCGTTTTCTTTCAGCTCTCAAAATGTAACTGCCAGAGAAGAACCTCCAGCAAACAGAGATGGGCTTTCAAAGGAGGGGTATTTGCATCTAACCTATTCAGCATATTAACCAGTGATCAGAAAGTTAAATATAAAATTACTGCTGATAAAATTCACAAGTGACACAGAGATTAGCAAGCTGGGAAGAGGCAGTGTTATGCTATCCGATCTGGGAGTGCTTGATTTAACAAGCATGGGTCCATTCACAAAAAGGGGTCTTGAGGGCATTGCAATGCCAGGGGTGCGGGCAGAGCCCATCCCCACAGAGTAGTGGACCATCCCTTGGGCAACAGGCTCTGAAGAGAATGAAAGGATAGACAGATCATTGGGAGCACGCAGAGTAATGACATAACAAAATGCTAAGCTGATCCTGAAAGCAAAAAATAAATAAGCCATTTGTACCCATATATATTTTGGGCTAGGTGGAACCTAGCTGTACTTTAAAGGGGAAGCTGGAAAACTGACCTATAAACCTGGAAAGCTATAAAGACTACTGAGAATGTCTTTCCAGTGGGAGGCGTAAAGAAATCAACTTACTCACCTACCCAGTAAGAGATTATGTCACCTAGATAGTATCTTCCAAAGAAAAAAAGTATCAAGACTGTACCAAAGTATACTGGAAAGAAAGCATGAAAAGAACCAGTTGCTAGAATGTAGATGCTGTCAAAGCCATACAAAGAATTAACACTGGTGTTCATAATGAGGAGGGGTGATGCAGAAGGAAAGAGAAATTCTTCCTCTCTTGATTTCTTCAGATCAGAACTCGATGCCTTTCCTAAAATTTCTTTTTCAGTTAAACATAAGTTCTTAGGTTCAGACTGGGTAGCTGCTTGTGATATACAAAAGTGCACATTCTTACGGACTGCTGAAATATGTGACAGATGCCCAGAAAAAAACCACCAAGTTTTTATGTGCTTGTGAGCAGACATTTCTCACTCCTCAGTGTTTGGGGTGCTGCAGAGAGAAAACTGCATATAGATTTTGATCATTCATTGAGAATATATCAGCACCAATTCTAAAAAAGGCACTATTTGTATGTACCTCACTTACTCTAAAGGTTCTAAAGGGACTGGCTGTGGGCAGGTCACCTCTTCTCCAGGATTCTGGTTATGGTTCTATTACTTGCTCCTGCTGTGATCCCTGAAGCCCTAAGACTGTGCTGTGAACACGACCCAGTGCTGATCTGAGTAAAAGCAATCTGCATGTGCACACCAGTACTGTGCCCCATCCCTGGAGACTTTCAAGGTAAGACTGAATCAAGCCCTGGGCAACCTGATCTAGCTGTGCAAGTCCCTGTTCGTTGCCGGGGAGTTGGACTAGATGACCTTTAAAGGTCCCTTCCAACGCTAAGGATTCTACAATTCTATGATTCTATAGCTAAGCAGCTTTTAATGTGTGTGTTTGCAGCATTTTAACCCCATCCAGCTTGCTGCTCCAGCTCACAGCCTGCAAACAGCTCTGTCAGCATCATGGAGCAGAGCAGGAAGTCCTACAGCCAACACTGCCCATGGTGGGCATGCAGATGCTGAGGCTGATCTCAGGTTGCTGCTGTGTGGGAGAGATCCCGCTCCCCTGCACTCCTTGGACAGCAGGGCCCCACCACCTCAGCCCTGCTGTTGGTGGCACTCACTTGTCGCCTTCCCTTCCGTTATGCGGCCACCAGGTGAGCAGGCTCTGGTAAGCCCTTATGGCAGGCTCACAGATCCTGGCACATCTGCCAAGGACCAGAGAAGAGAAAAAGTTGGATAGGTTGCACCCCCCAGCCTGGAATCTTGCCCACAAGCCTCTTGCTTTGCTATTGAACTCAGTGGTGTTCTGTGGCCTTCTTGTGGCCCGTTCATCAGGCTTAACACAGTGACTCCACACACACTTGGAGAGCACTGCATTGCCAAAGTATCCATACTCTTCTGCCTGTAATGGTGAAAGGCTCGTACACCACGATGAGAAAAAGTACAGGGTTCCCTCAGCCCACAGCATCAGAAGCTCTGACAGCCGCTGGAGCACAGTTGTTGGCAAGCTGGATTCTGTTTCATCCACTTCTGTGCATGGTATTTTTAATGCCACTGGCCAAAAACCCAGTGTTGGTAAAGGACCCCTTTTGTCTCTCTGGGAGAGCATCCAGCAGTTCATGGAGGAACAGATCTGACAGTCTAACACTGGAAAATTGACACCTCATTACCTCATTCCTAACTGGCAGTGCCTTTTTTTAACGTTATTTTCTGTGAGTGCAGCAGCAGCTGGGGGGGAATGGCTGTGCTGGTGGAGTGAGGCTGAACACAAGCAACTGCAGCAAGAAGTGCCAATGCACCTGAAGGAAAAAATAATGCTACGGCTTCTTAACGAGGGAGGGGGTGATTTGCTGAAGAAGGGGTGCCTTTCTGAGCCAAAAGGGTGCTACTTTTGTAAAGATACAGCAAGTTCATGCTGCGTTCCTTGTGTGATGAACTCCTCAACAGAAAAGACACAAAACCATCTCTGCTGGGTTTAATTGCCTGACTATTGAACTTATAGGGCATGCATTAAGGCAACAGGTCTCCCTCCCAATTGCCCATGTCTGCAAGGAGACGTAATAGGTGTTATTTATATTGTACTTAAATATTTAATTTTCTTTGTAAATAAAAGCTTCATGCCTCCCTTTGCGCCTGCTCTTACAGCCCCAGACTGCAGCAGCTAGGACAAAACTACTACTTCAAATTAACTTGGCGTTCAACACGCATTTGTATTACTTCCACGATTTTTATTGTGTTTTTAATTATTATTTTTTCTCACAGTTCATTCATCAATCATATTTACAAGCCCATTGTCGGACCGGCTGCCAGTGGAGCGTTCACACACATTTCAGCACACAGAAACTGCAAACCAGGGCAGCTCTGCTCAGATCTCTAATATTTCTGAGGAGCTGGAAGGTGTTGACAGCTCATGGTACGCCTGTCCCAGGCAAGTGCAAGTGCCTCGACATCCGTCTATCTGTGGTTACTGCTGAGGGGTACAATTACAGAGCACATTTACCCTCTGCGAAGGAATCCTCCCTGGAGAGGTTAGAAACGGGGAATAAACAGCGCGCTGCAGCTGGGGGTCTGGAAAACGAGCTTCAGAATAATCACCCAAGTGGACTTTTTAAATTGAGCTTCTGCCACCACTGAGCCTCTCGTGACAGCAGCAGGAGCAGCTCAGGGGTGGCAGACATGGGCCTTGGTTTTGCTTTGTGCTTCGTTGTTCCATACCCTCACTTATTTTTTCCTTAAAGCGTGCACCTCAGGATGGAGAACATTAGGAAAGAATGTTACTCCTTGGGATTTCAGAGGAGGGTGTTTCTCAGGGCAGCAGAAGGAAGCAGCTCCGAGCACCCGAGCCGGCACATTGTCAGCGCAGCCCTGCTTGCCTCCAAGCCCATTGTCAACCAAAGGAACTTGAAAATTACGGCCATTTATCTACCCCCTTCTTTACCCCCCACCATGCCTCTTTTGGCAGGGCAGCTAAGCAGTTTGCATTGTTTCAAGCTTAATGCTTGCAGATGGTTTTATTTAGAATTTATTTTATTGGTGAGACATGCTTCCTCTGTTTATTAAATTACGCCTACTTTTTGTCAGTCAGTACGCTGCCCTCGGCCTCATGGCAGAGTTGGGGGCAGAGCTCGGGCCGGGGCTCGTCGTGGCATCGCTGTCTGATGGGCCGCTTCACGGGGCGGTGGGCTGAAAGCGGCGAAGCTCTGCGAGCACAGAACCTCGCGTGAACCTCGCGTACCCCGCGGGACGAGAGACGACACCGGGGCGCGGGGGCACCCACCGCCCGCCGGGGGCCGCTCCGACTCGCGCCGGGGCCGGCGGAGCAGCCCGGGGCTCGGCTCCCCGCGGCTCCCGCAGCCCGGCCCGGCGGCAGGTGCTAGCGGTGGCCGCTGCGGGAGGGCGGCGCGGGGCCAGCGCGGGGCAGCCCCGCCGGGCCGGGCCGAGCCCATGAGCCGCGGGCTCCCCCCGCGCCCTGCCCGGGAGCCGCTTCAGTCCTTTAAAAGCCCCCCCGAGCCCCTGCCCGCCCGGGGCGGCCACAGATCGCCGCCGGTTCCGCGCGGGACTCGCAGGCTCCGGAGCAGGAGGTGGGAACCGGGGGCGGTTTGGATTTCGCTGGTGTTGTTTTTCTGCTTTGTGCGGGTTTTGTGGCGGATTTTTTTTTTCTTTTTTTTTTCTTTTTTTTTCCCCTCCCTCCTCCCGCTTCCCCGCGGGCGCCAGCACCGGGCGGGCAGCTGCAGGAAGGCGGGAGCGCGGCGGCCCCGGGGAGCCCCAGCGGGCCGGGCCGGGCGGGCCGGCGGCGCCTCCCCCCGGTTCGGGGGGTCCCCGGGCTCGGCCCCCGAACGCCCCTCTCTTCCGTTCTCCATGTCATTTCCTGTGCTAATAAGATGGTGGTCACGGCCGGGAGGGAGGGAGCCGCCGCCGCCTCCGCCGAGCCCGGCCCGGCCCCGGGACCCGTCCTCGCCTGCGACTAGCGAGCGGGGCCGGCGGGGAGGCAGCGCGCAGCCAGCCGGGCCCCCCGGGCGGAGCGGGTCCCCGGACGCCGAGGCGGGGCCCCCCGCGCCCGCAGCGCCGAGGTGAGTCAGCCCCGCTGGTAGCCAAGGTGGCCACGAAAATGGCTGCGGAGAGCGGGCGGGGGAGGGCGGGGGGGGGAGGAGGGAGGCGGCGAGGGGGCCGGGCGGCACGAGGGCCCCGCCCGGGGGTCGCGCCGGAGGGCTGCGGGACGGGGGTGCCCGCGGCGCCCCGCGGTTGGGTGGCGCCCCTCTCCCCTTCGCCCTCCCCCGGCGGGAGGCGTCCGGCCCGGCCCCGCCGCTCCCCGCCGCGCCGCTCCCGCCCGCACCGCGGCGGCGGCTGCGCCCGCCCTCCCCCCGCGGCGGGCAGCGGGGCCCGGGAGTGACGGAGCCGGCGGCCAATGGACGGCGGGGGCGGGGCGGCGCGGGGCGCTCCCCGGGGGCGCGGGAGCCGGGGCCCGGCTGGGTCGGGCGGAGCGCCCCGCGGGTGGGGCTGGAACTTCTTCGCGGCCCGGCGCGGGACAGGGGCAGGGCTGGAAGTTTGAGGACCGTTTCCAGCCCCGCTCGTGTACATCGGGCGCGGAAGCGCTGCTTGCGGTCAGTTCCTTGCCGCACGCCCTTGCTGCGTTCAGTGTTTGTGGAAAATCCTTCTGCCCTGCCTTTAATGCTGCGCCTCTTTGCCTGGATCCTGCGCGGTGGGAAGTGGAAAAGTTGTCATTGCGCTGCCCGCCTCTACTAGTGTGTTTAGTCGCATGAAAAACTTCACCTGGTCTGAGCCGTGCCAGTGCTTCAGGCGCTGCTTCCTCTCCTTTTCAGTTGATACGTGTTTTTGGCTTCTCCACAAACACTCCGTAAGCACCCGATGTTTGGAGCCACAAGGAAATCCGTGTCTCCATTCACTGCGTGTCCCAGAGGGGATTCCAGCTCTGCTCCCCCTTGCAGATCCCCAGCTGTGTACACACAGCTTTGCTGGTGCCCGTGGGCAAAGCTGTTGGCTTGGCACTGCTTCCTCTTCCCCACAATTAATGTCTTTCTCTAGCACCAGGAAATGCAGAGCAGGCAAGGCCAGCCTGGGCATTGCTTTCTGTGCTGTAGGTAGCAAGCATAGCTCCGGGTGCTGTGTGCTGAGCAGCCCCTGTGTGCTGCCCCTGGGACTCAGCTCCCAGTGAGGCCACCTGGGCTGGGTTTCAAACCCCTGAATTTCCCCCTGTGCAATGGGAAGTTCTATAAGCAACAAAAGTGGAAAGGGAAATGACTATTTAAGCTTTCTGATGCATTGTGTATAAACCCGACAATAGAAGTGCATTCTTATTGTTAAGTGCAGATTGTAATCGGAGAGGGAAGTACTGGGATGGTGTGTGTCTGCTCCTTGCAGGGAATGCTGCAATCAGAGATACTGCATCAAGGCAGCCCGTCTCGTTGCAGAAGGGCTGTGCTGGCCAAGCAGGCTGGGGCTGGCTGGTCTCAGAGGCAGGGGATTTGAGGTAGCAGCAGGAGATGCTGGAGTTCAGCCTGGCGCACCAAGTGCAAAGCGTAGCACTTTGCTGAGCCAGCTTATGGGGAATTCCTTCTCATTGTGAGCTTTGCCAGTTGCTGGTAGGAATAACTTGCTCTTCAAATGCTTCCTTGGCCACCAGAACGTGCCTCCAGGTTCGTGGCATCAGAACTGCATCTTTGGAGCGGCTGTTGCTGATGTGGTGTTGGCGTTGGTGTGAAAGTTTGCATGAAGAAACTAAACGTTGTTCCAAAGACAAAATGATTGGGGTTTTTGGTTGATGACCAAGTAATAACACTGACATCCAGAGTGAAGAGAGAGCCTACTAGAGTTTGGCCTGGGGATTCAAGGCTGAATAACTGAGAGGCAATGACTTGTTCCCTATGGCATGAGGGCTGGTGGACATTTCTGACGCTTCCTTAGCCTTGAGAATGTGTATCTGTGACCTTCGAACAACAGGTTTTCATAAGAAAGCCAAAATCTGGCATTCTAAGAGATGTGGAGGCAGCTGGCTTCTTTTCAGCCCACGCCTAGGTAGGCTGGACGTGCGTCCTTACTGCAGCGTGGAGCTCTCTGAGCATGGGTCCCTCTGGCCCCAGGTCTGCGGTGAGGCAGGGCCACACAGGTGGGAGGCAGCCAGCATGTGCTGAGTGAAGCCTGGGGCTTCTTGAGGAGTCCCTCCTGTCATTTCTCTGACGTGTGCAGTATTTCATGAAGTCAGATGACACATAAGCCTTTGCCATTATGTTTCCTGGTCAGTTCTGTGCTTGTGGGAGGGAAAGCCCACATCCCCAGGAGCTGTTGTTCAAAGGGCTCCTCTGTCCGCAGCACAGGGAGGCAGTGCTTCAACCTTTCATGCCCAGAACAGCTTCTCTGCAGTCAGAAGGTAAAAACATTACACATATAATTTAAGGTTTAAGCTGCAATCTGCAGGAACTGGCACCCTCCAGAGAGGGATCAGTAATGCATACTGCAGAGCAGCATTTCGGCACAGTCCCTCGGTCACAAACAGCCATCAGTAAGGGGCCCATCAGAAGGATATTATAAGCGAAGTCATCCCATTTGAGCACACTGACAGACAGTTTCATTTCTCTGCCCCCTTCCTTCTCTCCTCCGTAGGCTTTGGCTTTTCAGCCAGGGTAGTTTTACACCTATCATTTGCACTGAAAATCTAGTTTGTTAGTAGACAAAGCTCATCACGTCTCATGCATTGGTAGTTGTTTTGTGATTTTTGCATTACCCCTGAGAAATACATTTTAGGAACTTGCATGATAATTAGAGTTACTGGTGAAGGAATTCAGGCTGGTGCAATGTTAGCACAGAGGATCAATTTTAGAAAATACATAGGTGTCTTGGGCTGAGGCTGATGGAGAAAGAGGCACCGAAAATTGGAAATCCTGTCAGAAACCAGGTTCCATGGTGCTGCGGGAAGGGTTCACCAGTGGAGGGACAAAAGTAAGCATCAGTGACAAGGCTGAGCTCCTCTACACTGCCAGCAGCATCCTACCTTGCTCCAGGAGCCCATGTGCATGCAGGTCCCAGGTGAGCCCTGCCCAGCCTTCATGAGTGCGAGTTGGAGTGCTGTGGGCATGTGGTGTGAGCTGGCACCCAGTGACCTCTGTTTTAATATGTATCACGTTGAAGGCCGGTAATTGGAGCTGGCGTTAGTCAGGGACATTGGCTGTTTCTAGCTTGAAATGTTGTCCATTGCATTCCCTTTCAGTACAATGAAGCTTTATTTTGAAAATGTGTTGTGTAAACTATATATTAATAAGCTGAGTGGATTTAAATGCAGTCCTACAACTAGAAAGCTGAGCAGATGGCTTGTATGTGCCATCATCCCTGAAAAGCATCCTGATTTTGCTTGGGGTTACCTTTTCTTTCCTAGCACAATGATCTTGACACCTTTCATTCAGATAACCCTTGGCATTCCCATATCACTGTACTTTCAGGGTCTATGGTAGTTTTTTGTTCCTGTGTTTTTTCCTTCCAAAACTGCTGGAGAGTACTTTATGTGATCTGCTGTTTTCCTTAAACTGGAGACATGTTGTTTGGGAAGACTAAAGCAGATGTTAAACATGCCACAGTTTGCAGAGTCCAGTCTTTTCATCTATTCAGTGGAAATTAATGAAACCACTTGGAAACCGTCTGAAGGAAAAATATGTACTGATGACAAACCTTTGTGAGTAGTAAAATACATTTGGAGTTGTCATGTACTCGTCTAGGCGTGCAGTGTTTGTTTTTGGGTTTTCTGAGCCCATAACAAAGTCAGTCAGCTTCTGAAGAATACAAACTTCTTGGTTACTGATTTTTATTATTTTTTTTTTAAATTCCCTTTATTATTGAACAGAAAAGTTTCATATGTACAGCATATGGATAAGTTGCTCTATTCTTCAACAAATATCCTCTAAGCCAAGTAGAGTAGGACTGGGTGATGGGTGCAGCAGAACCTTGCAGAACCTTGCCAGCCGGCACTGCATTGCCATTGCAATGATGGCACCTCCAGAAAGGTGGATCCGCTTACTGCATGCATCTCCTAGATGTGTTGAGAGCTAGCACCAACTAAATCAGAGGTTAACGTGCTCCTCGGATCTGATGGACTTAGCTGTCAGTTCTGTTTCTTTTTAACCAAGTCTCATTCTGCAGTCAGGTGTTGAAATGTTGCCCTTGAGCTCTTGGGATAGTCAATGAATTTTTGTCGTCTCCCTGACTTGCATGCACGAGGTCACTGCAGTGCGCTCCCTTTTCTTCTTGGCCTGCAACTGAATGAGTTCTTGTGTGCTTCCACTAAACCAGCGCTATAGAAATGCCCATAGCGTAAAGGATTAGCTGTTTCTGTGCAACCCAACACCTTTACGTAGAAGATGCACTTGATGAGGGGGTGTTGAAGGGATGGACCAGAGGTGCTTAGTCGCTGCTGGAAAGTTTTTTGCTGCATTAGGATATGTGGGGTCTGAACACCCCTCTCTGTATGGAAGGGAATGTGCGGATCAAGTGATGGTGGTGGTGAATTCAGCACACGGATATCTGATTTCTTGGCAGATCTGACACTGGGAGTATCTGGACTGCTGCCTATACCAAGGAAAGGGGTCGGGGTGACCCATGCTCGGCCAGTGCTCGTCCAAGCCGTGTAATATGAGCCCCTAACCTGCAGACAGATTTACCAGCCCTGAATAATGTCTGTTGTGCTGCAAGATCTTATCTCCCTAATAGCCTGCAAGAGGGTACAAATGAGAAGAAATAAATATGGCTCTTGCTTTTGCTTTCCCTGCCTTTGTAGGACAGTTGATTTGTTCTCATTCTGCCTGCTGTGTTCCTTAGTGCTTTTCAAGTCGGAATTTTAGGAACAGTTGAAAGTATGACTTACTCTTTCTTTCTCATTTTCCACCCACATAACTTGGGGGTATAGGAGGAGGAAGGTAGAACCTATTGGAAGAAAGGAGGCACTTGCTGTGTCCTGTAACTCAGGTGGTTTGAAATTCCTGTGACAAACACAGAGGAGCTATTGTGTAATGGCATTCAACAGAAATGAACAGGCACCAACTGGACAAACGATACCAAGTTTTTTGTG